GTCAAAGCTGCGGACATGCTAGCCAAAGAACGGTAAAAGAACGTTCAAGTTATGCACCGGTTTGTCGAAAATTGTCAAAGTTTGACCTGGATGTTGGCGAAATTTTACCTTCGATGACTTTTGGTGACCTGACCTTTGGCCCACATCTGACCTAAAAATGGCCGAAGCAATTTGTTACTTATTTTTTAGCGCTTGCGAACGCCGCCAGTGGCGTATCGCTACGGGGCCCAGGAGCTAAGTTAGAAAGGGGGTGTTCCTGGATTTCGCCCCCCCCCCCCCTAGCAGGGCGTCGAAATCCAGGAGCCCCAGCGGGGCGCCGGGTACTAGCTGCTGGAAGTCAGGCCAATCACCTACTATAAAACAGACAAAAACAATTAAAAGTAATTTCCCTCTGGTAAAACAGACAACAGACTATCACTAAAACCTCCAAGTAAAATTGCAACCAACGCTGCAAACAAACCAAAAAGAGCTGGCGTTTGCACAGCACATCCCAACTAAACAATTTTTTTTTATAAATTTAGCTCGAATGTTTGAATGAACAGATTGACAAAGCCGGAGCCCACGCTAAGCAGAGCCTGTTGCGTAGACACCGACCCCTACCGTCCGATCGCGCAATTCCGGGTAACGGGAGAATTTAGATGCCAAAGTTTAACGTGCCCTTCAAAGCCGGACACGGCCTGTCCCACTCAACTGACTTCAACTGGCTGCGGCTGCTCCCACCAACCGCAGACCATCCCCGCCAGGAGTCTCTAAGATCGAGCGCCGGAGCGTCTCAAACCCGGGTTCTCACTACCGGGAGTCCGATGCTCTACCAACTGAGCTACGGGACAGACAAAATCAATCAATCAATCATTCAATCAATCAATCAAATCAAATCAATCAAAAAGCAATTAAACTCGAAAAACTCAAGTCACGAAGCGATTAATCGAAAAATCGAAAAATTGACGCGAAAAGCGATAAATCGAACCGAAAAAAAAACAACAAAAAAACGAAAAATAAAAAACGGAAAGCGTCCCGTGTAGCTTAACCTTAACCCACGCCCCGCTGGGCTATTCAGCCATACGCGCCTTGCTGGGGGGGGGGGGGGCAGATTCTGCCCTCCCCCTGTCTAACTTCCGAACCGATGGTCGTAGAAAGACGGGGAAAACGGCAATCGAAAGCTCTCAACAAGGCGGATCTTAAGAGCCCAAATTTTTTGCTTAAGTAGGTCAGAGGTCAGGTCAAGGTCAGGTCAAAGGTACAAAATGCAAGTTTCTACAGTATCGGCCTTGCACCGTAGTTGCCGAAGAATGGACTGAGACTGATAGCCCAAAACGTGTTCTTAGACTACCAAGACAATATTCGTTGCATGCAATGTCATTCAAAGGTCAAGGTCAAGGTCAGGTCAGGTCACCAAAAACAAAATATAGAAAAGGGCATGTGCGACACATGTTTTATGGGTCATTTTACTCATAGAATTCAATAGGCATACTCAATAAGTGATATGGACCACCTCTGGATGAATTTCAGGTCGAGATCAGGTCAAGGTCAGGTCAAGTGAGGTCAAATTTTGAAGTTGGTTGTTAAGGCCTAAAAAGGTGTCTATCTGATGCAGTTTTTCACGGCGAATCGAATGGTGCTATTTTAGTCCCCGTACGAGGTCTAGAACTTCAAAAAAATCATTTTTCAAAAAATTTGTGTGTCGTGACGTAATAAAATTTTTGAATAACTCTCACATTTTTGAACCGATTCTTCTAAAAATTTGTAGGTAGGTGCACATAGACCACTTCTCTGACATATATTCCGTTTTTTTTTCGATGCACTCAAAATTTTGGATTTTATAATTGTTTTCCCAAAAGTCGGTTTTTTGAAAAAAAATTGGGCCAAAACCCAAAATTTTCGAAAAACCGAGATCGCCATTTGATAGACAAAGTAGAATCACGTATAACCTTTTTTGTTACCTCTTGATTCCTTTAAAAATGAAGATGTTAGCGGCGTTTGAAATTTTACCGTTTTTGAGGCGAAAATGGCGAGCATGACGTCACTAAAACGTCAATTTCTCAAAATTTTCCGACGGATTTCGCTCAAATTTTCAGGGAACGTGTCAAATTGATGTATGATAAGGTACTGAAAGTTTGACGTTGCTGGCGTAACGCGTTTAGAAGTTATTGGCGAAAAACGGGAGGGGGGCAGATTCTGCCCCCCCCCCGCGGGGCGCGGGTTTAACAAGCTTCACTGAGAATTCGATCTCCGATGTAGACAGTCATTTTGCGTCCATGTTATTTATGCACCTTACGAGTCGCCATACGGGTGAAATATAGGGTCTTACCATGGCGGTGCTGAAACTGACTTGATTTGGCGCTAAAAAAAATTACGCGCCACCACTACAACAAAAGTCAACCGATTCGCATGAAACACGACCCACAATTACTTCTCATTGCATTGTTAAAGGAAAAGGGCCACCTTCGTGAAATATGAAGATATCGTTGTTTTTCATTTTGACATTATTATTTTTCATTTTCTTTTTAAAACTGGTGCCAGAAGTGCACAATTCGCTAAAAAGTATTTAAAACTATTTAACATATTGGTACTATGTTGATACTCTCTACGGCACCTACTGTATGATGGCATAGCGATGACGTCACACTCAAGCCAATCAGCGTTCAGAAAACAGACTCGTCGGATTGTGTCAGATAAGCTGATTGGTTAAAGCTGAGCTGGTTGGAGCTGATTGGTAAAAAACCAAAGCCTCGTCGCGGGTGGCTGTATTGTCGGATAAGAACGCATTCCTGGGATAAGGACGCATTCCTGTCGTATTTTCTTTTAAAATTGCCGATAACTACGAATGGAGGCCGAAATCGGCCGTAAGGAGGTAGACAGACTGGTTTTCGGACACGGGCTACAAGATGGCTATCTCAGTTTCAATCCCCATGTTAAAGGTGGCCCTTTTCCTTTAACCCTCGCATGTGTAGGGAGGGTCGGATGGACCCCCCCCCATGGTTTTTCGCGAATAACTCGCGTAAAAAGCGGCCGATCGTGACGAAACTTTCAGTACCCTCGCATTGATCAGTTTTACACCTACCCTGAACATTTCATGACCCTGACCCAAATGACCTTTGACCTGTGACCCCTTTTCCGAGACCATGTTTGGCTGGAATCGCGATTCCGCGTATGTCGGCTCGCATTAGCCGCGCGTTTGCAAGCTTTTCGTGGTTTCAAACGTTCAAACATGTGATTTGATGTTGCTCCCATGCATTAGGGTGGGTGTCAAGGTCACCTGAAGGTCAGGTCACTGACCTTTGGTGACCTCGGGTGACCTCGGTTCACTTTTCGAGTTTTACATGTTTCTAGGCTAGTTTTTGGAGCTGAATTCGAATTTAGCAACCATTTAAACATTTACGAAGTAGTTTTGATGCCTTCGTAACATGTTACGAAGCTGTCAGAGGCGGTTGACACGTACTACGAATACCCGTCACAACCCCTACTGGTTGACCTCACCTGACCTGACCCGACCTGGTCTAAATGCTTAAAGACATCATCTGTGATCAAAACTAACACGATATTCGTGATCAGCACCCCGAATAACCCCTTAGCAGCCACACTTTACGACTTTCTAATAGGTCCCGATTTTCCCGACTTTGGGTCATTGACCTGACCTGGAAGGTCAACCAATGACCTAGGACCTTAAAATTGGGTACCATCGGCTTCCTCTCGTCACGGGCAACACGCTCGTTCTTTCCGCGAAGCTCTAGCTCGATCAGGGGCCAAACGGCAAGGGGGGTCCAACCGACCCCCCCCTCGCATGTGTTTTTAGAAGCTGGAAACGCCGCACACATGCGAGGGTTAACCCTATTCCTGGCGGGCTCCGCCGGGACAAGAAACTGGCGGGGGGGGGGGGCCGATTCGGCCCCCCCCCCCCTGAGATCTCGAGAACGAAGCAAGATAGCGACAAGCGGTAAACGGCATCGGATACGCACGGCCAAGATCTACAATTTTTACTAAGGTCATTTTCAGGTCAGGTCAAAGATGACGTCACAGGGGTCGAAAAAGTCAAAATGGCGGCGCTAGATATGGAGAGAGTTTTTCTCGAATAACTTTCGAATTAGTCAAGATAGGAACAAACTAAGGGCATTATCGTGATCCTCTCGTCAATCCGCATCGAATGATATATATGTTGACCTCGAAAGGTCAAGGTCAAAGGTTGACCTCAGGTCACGTGACCTCGAGGTCATCATGTATATCATTCGATGCGTCTTGACGAGCTGAACACAATGAGACCATCCACGCGTCTGTATCTTGTTCCTGTACGGAGTTATTGGCCAAAACCCTTTGGTGACCTTTGATGACGTCACATGACCTCACAGCTGCCCAACAGCAAAACAGACCTCAAGGTAGTGAAGGTTGATCGTATATGAAGTCATGTATGGTATATGGGGCCATTCCGACCCGTTTTAGTGGTAAAAACAGGGAGTTGATTTTTCCCCCATTGACTTATAATGGGGAGGTCGCGAAATTGACCTGACCTTAGGTCACCGATATCAAAATTCCGAGATATACAAATTGCACATACTGGTACCCTAACTAAACCCTGAAGAGAAGAAATTGATCGGTCAAAAACTCTAGCTCTGGCGTGATTGCAAACTTTTCTGAGGTAGGGTCACCAAACCGCCTCTGGTGACCTGACCTGAGGTCAGATCAACTCAAAATTTTCAGACATGTTGCGTAGAAGCCTTTTAGGAAAAGTCAGAAAATTTGAGCTTCCTAGCTCAACGCGTTTGGGAGAAATAACCAAAAAACCTCAGGGGGGGCTCCTGAGGCCCCCCCCCCCCGCCAGGAATAGGGTTAAGGCACCGTGTAAATTTCAAACAAGTTGCATAAAAATTGCAACTTTTATTTAATTAACTCTTTAATATTTATTAAATATCCTTAGGATTCATGTCTTTCGAGACACCCTGTATTACTCACAAACTGTGAGAGGACGGGCCGGCAATGCGGCCGGCCGCTGGCCACTCAGTACTCACCGTCTATGTGCGTCAGGCAGGAGACGGGCGCCGAGTCGGGTCCACAGCCGGCCGCCGTGCAGGCCGCCACCAGGGCAGTGTAGTTGGTGAATGGTGCCAGCCCCGTCAGCACCAACTGGTTGCCAGTCGAACCCTCCTCCTGCACGTGCACTGGGTCCTCTGCCAAAGACGAAAACAGAACAGCGTTAGACTAAGAGACGTACAGAACCTCATGAATAATCCAGTCGTTGCCAGTGCAAAAAAAAAATCCTAATAGGTCTGCACTCAGTATTACAGCAATCTGGTAAAGCCAACATATGATAAATATGATCAGTGATCTTTGGGAAAAGGGGCAAATAGGACAGTAACGTTTGGAATTCATTTCGCTTGCTGTTGATGGACTAGGCTAAAGTTTCTTCTAAGGCTTTCTTCTAAAACTTAAGAGAGTGACTGAGGGTTAGGTTTTCACTGCTGCCACGTCCTTTATGTGTATGTTCTGAGCTGCCTCTGAGCAGCCCGGGTGGCCCAGTGTATAATGGCGCAGCTGCCGCCCGGTGAGCGGCCGCCGTACCTGGCCGCAGCGCCGTGCGCCGCCAGGTGACCCGATACTCGGTGACCCGGCCACCGGCCTCCCCGTGCGTGAGCGGGCTCCAGCTGACACCGACGGAGGAGGGTGACACGGCCCGGCAGGTCAGCTGGCGCGGCGCCACCTCCGGCACTGCCGACAGCGCCGGGTCACACACTGACACACTGACACCGGAGGAACGGGGAGGCCCTGACACACTGACACACTGCCGACAGCGCCCGGTCACACACTGACACACTGACACCCGAGGAACGGGGAGGCCCTGACACACTGCCGACAGCGCCGGGTCACACACTGACACCGGAGGAACGGGGGAGGTACTGACACACTGGCACACTGACACCGGAGGAACGGGGAGGTGAGGCCCCGACATCCACCAGCGACATCGACAGGTCAGCACCGTTCACACCGGACCCGGGTCTCTCACCTCTCGGCTCTCACCTATAGACCCTGGACAATGTGGACATCTCACCTCCCTCCCTCCTCTGTAGACCCTCGATATCTCTCCTCTGTAGACCCTGGATATCCCTCCTCTGTAGACCCTGGATACTCGAGGGCAGCGCTTTTCGAGGAGCGCTGTGGCCCGAAGGTTTGGACTTTGAATTGTGAAAAACGCCCGCCCGCCGCAAAACACAAACACCGGAAAACGCGCAAAACGCACGCCCGAAACGCCAACGCAAATGTTGCAAAAAAATAAACAAACGCCCGCCCGCCGCAAACCGCAAAAAAAAACGCAAAAACGCCGCAAAAAATAAAACCGCCCGCATCGCACGCCCGCTAACCGCTAACCGAAAACGCCTAAAAATCGACCGTAGACCCTAGATATCCCTCCTGTGTAGATCCTGGATCTCTAATCCCATTCCTCTATAGACCCTAGGTCTCTCACCCCCTTCCTCTGCAGACTCTGGGTCTCTCATCCCCTTCCTCTGCAGACCCTGGGTCTCTCACCCCTGTAGACCCTAGGTCTCTCACCTCCCTCCTCTGTGGTGGCGGTGACGGCCGAGCTGGCAGGACCCTGGCCGGCCCGGTTACAGGCGCTCACGGTGACCGAGTACGCCGTGTTGGGCCGCAGGTGTTTGAGGAGCAGCACCAGCTCCGGTCGGCGGACAGACCTGGGCAGGGGGGGGGGGGGGCAGCATTCAGCACTGATCGGACCGAACTGGGGGCCGGTCAGCACTGATCCGGCCCACGCCGGCCGCTGGGGGCGTGGCTCAACCGCTGACACCGTCAGTGTGTCATAGTTCAGCCCATGACCCTGTCTAGCCTGCGCCCTGGTGGTGGTGGGGGGCTATTTTTTGCCCCCCCCCCTCCAGACTTTTCGATATATCTCCAGAGCCGCTGCGCCGATCGTCACCAAACTTTCTCAGTACCCTCTCGGACATCAATTTTACGCATTGTGACAAAAAAATTCAGAATAGGTTGGCCGGAAATTACGTCAGAGTGACGTCATGTTCTGCCGTTTTCGACCAAAAAAAGGGTTTCCCGGGAAGAGCTGTCAGGCCTTATAGCTCACAAAAAACATAAACGCTGTAAAATTGACAGGGCTACAAAACTGTTATCTCGGATTTTTGAAATTTTTGGTTTTGACCTCCAAAAATAAAAAATAGATTTTTTGAATAAAATAGACGAAAAATCCAAAAAATGTTTTTTTTTATTTCGATAAAACGGAATATATGTGATAGTCCTTACAGCCTTCTATCCACATACCAAATTTGAGATCAATACCTCTTTTTTGCCAAGTTTTAGCGAAATAAAAACTTCGCAATTAGCGAAACGAAAAAAAAGAAAAAAAATTGATGACGTCAAATTTTCAAACTCAATTTTTTTAACAATTCTAGACCCAGTAGCGCAAAACCAAGACCACCATTAGACTCTCCGTGACGAGTTGCATCGACTCAATACCCATTACCCATTTTATGCAAAACTATCAACTTTAAAATTTGACCTTTTTTGACCTGACCTTGACCTGACCTTCACCAGAAAGTGTCCTAAGCCGCACCTGATAGTCTTATGACCAACACCATTGAGTTGGAAATGAAAAATTGGCCATAAAACATGCATCGCACAACCTTAGTAAAGTTGGGTTCATGTGCTGACCCTTGGTGACCTGACCTGTGACCTGACCTGGTATTATCAGTGACCTCTAATAGCAACATATATACTAGGCAACTGACGCCCTATCGCTGATTATCGACAAAATGCGTTTTCCTCGGTGTGATAGCGCATTCCCTAGAAGACCCGTGAACGGTGAAACATTTCATCTTTGACCTGACCTGTGACGTCATCGGTGACCCGAGGTCAATGAGGTTTTGTTCCCCTCAACAAATTTGACAGGCCTTTCAAACGCCGTTTGAATTTTGCGGATCCGTCCAGTAGTTTCGGAGATATGGGGGAGGGCAAAAAATAGCCCCCCCCCCCCTCCATCAGGTCGCGTTATAAACAGACCCCACCAGGGCGCGGGCTAGCCCATGCGTCATAGCCTTTCCCCTGGCCCTATCAATTAGCAGTACCGGATGCAGCCGATTCCGGCGAGGCCGCATAATCCATATTTGCATTAATGACGTATTTCGGTCTAAGCTGATCGTGCTATTATTGTGTTTATGCTATAAACGTACCATGTATTCACACTATCAATATTATTAACATAAATATTCTTTTTTCTATAGTTGTACCAACAGTCAACACCGTACACGGTTCAAAGTAAGTTTGACACTTCGCGAGCGCAAAAAAGACATTCTACAAATGCAATCCACAAGAGGCGAAAGGTTTTCTTAAAAATGACATTCTAGAGCTGCAATACACCAGAAGCGTAAAGTATTCCTAGCTCTAGGGCTGGTGCGACACCCCCCCCCCCCCCCTCCCTCGCGTTTGGTCCCTAATTGAGCTTGAGCCTTGCAGAGAAATCCATCGTGTGGGTCGTCACGAGACAAAGCCAACGGTACCCAGTTTAAAGGTCATAGGTTCCACGACAAATCGACAAATAAAAAAGGGGAATATTTGTTTCTGGTCCCTAAAAAGCTGTTTCTGGCACCTAATTGCTGATCAGCCCCAAAATGCTTATTCGACCCTAATATCTGAATCTGGCACCTAATTGCTTCCACACAGCCTAAAGTTGCCAGATCGTCTAGTTGAACTCCGTATTTGCTGTTTGCTGATTCAGCACCAAAACCAAAACATCCAGCACCTATTTTATTCCACGTTTGCCTACCTAATTCGCGTAATCTTCCTGATTTTATGTATCCTAACAACATGAACGTTGCATTCGGTGATGTCAAGTGCCATTTTCGCCAGTGGAGATAATGATTAATGCCATTTCTAGCCAAAAGAGAATCACTAGCCAGCTATGGTGCAACGTAGCAAGACGCTCCTATACCAGCCCGCTATGTAGAGACTAAGAGATTATTGCACCCTCAGCCATTTTAACGTGAAAAGTTTGGATCCGTCACTTCCAGCCAGGCTCTCAGGTCATAAACTGGAGTAAAGCAAAATGTCAACTCTGAACAGACATGCCACGCAACCGGCCCTCTTTTCAGTATTATTAGCTTCCTGCAATCATCGTCTGACTCCATCTCGATCAAAGGCAGCATCCGGTTTCTACAGGGGCGTTTGACTCACCGGCCACACAATAACCAAAAACAAAATCAAAGCTTCATGCCACATATGCCATACGTAAGAAACGGATGAAAAAGGGGACGCCGGTGAAAACAGGGCGCCGGAGGGCATATTAGTCACGTGACATTTGGAACTTCTCCCGCTCCAGGGGCCTTCTATATCCTAAACGTCACGTGTAAATTTCACGAACCTTGATCAAATCGCCCCAGGCGCCCTGTTTTCACCGTCGTCCGAAAAAGGCACAACCACGGCACAACTCTGCGCGGCAAACAACGGACAATGTCCCACGCAAGATCCCGCGTTTCTTCAGCGGCCTTGAACGGAATGAAAACATTACATTTCTTTTTTGGAGCTATTTGATGACGTCAAAAAATACAATACCCGTTTTAATGGTCAAAATCGAGACAATTACTCACAAAAATGTTTCCCTTTAAGCATTACAAATAAATACTTTCAAATATTTAAATGACATTGTTTTTTTCAAACAAATTAATATTACTTGCTAACTTAAACATCATATACAATGCTGAGATCACTACGGGGCTGTCTTAGAGTGTAGCTGCACTGGCAACCTTTAGGCTAGACTCCAGGGGTCATTATACCAGAACAACATGATTCTACCAGCCAGTAGCTCATTTTTCTACTAGATTGGTGCTACGCTCAGCATTTAGGTGCCAGATTCAGAAAAAAGAGTAAGGCGTACCGATGAATAGGTGCCAGAAACAGCTAATTAAGGTCATTTTCCATGATTGGTGCTGGTATCCACCAAATAGGTGCTGAGGACCAATTTTGGACGAGTCAGCTTTTAGGTGCCAGTAATAGCTTTTCTGGGACGCAATTAAATGGCGTCCAATAAAAAATTAAATTTGCACCCTCATATTTTATTCTTCGTTGAAAACTGGTGTAAGGGGTTGTGATGGGCGGAGAAGCCAGCTGTGGCAAGGATTTTTTTCTTCGAACCACGGTTTCCGAGATATAGCCTCGGGCAATTCCTGGAGGTCACGCTGCAACCCTATGTTTGGCGGCTTATAACTCAGAAACTGTTGGTTTTCTATGATAAAAACTTTAAATGGTACAACTCACAATCAACCAACAAACATTTTGACTTTCTCATATTTTCAATTTTTGAAAATTTTGATCACGTGACCTTTTGACCTATTTTCGAAGAGTGACCTTGATATTTTCCCCACTGAAAGTTAAAACTTTGTCTGATGACGATTAAAGCCTTATCAATTTTTATTCATATGCGATAATAAAAAAGTGGTTATCGCCCTGCGTTGACCTCAGGTCAGGTCATTTTTATGACCTGTTCATTATTACGAGCGGGAGCGTCAGCGAGATCTCGAGAACAAAGCAAGATAGCGACAAGCGGTAAACGGTAAAGGGTACACACGGATAAGGTCTATAATTTTTACTGAGGTCATTTTCAGGTCAGGTCAAAGATGACGTCACAGGAGCAAAAAGGAAGTCAAAATAGCGGACTACATATACCGGGTGGCCCAAAAAAAACGTTCCAAACTTTGGAGGCCTATATCTCAAATTCGAATGCAAATAACGAGCCAAAATTTTCATCAAGTTTGCGTCACTTCTTTGCGCATTGGTATGCCAAATTATAACACTGTACCATCATTTTCAAGCCAGCAATCTTATGTTGAATTAAGTAAGACGTTTTTGCTTTTTTTGCCGTTGTTGAACGGTAGTAATGATTGGCTTAGGCGTACCATGTTAGAAAAAATTAGAAAAATAGAATACGTGAATGATACCAGCACGTGTGCTGTTATTTTTAATACTTTTGTCCCACTTATGTGCCAAATATTCAAATGCTAAGCCAAAATTGCTTTAATGGATGTCATTCGTTTCAACACAAGTCCTGTTTCGAAGAGGAGGAGCGGCACGGTGCATGGGCTACTGCTGATCGCCCTCCCTTCAAGAAGCTCAAATAGTAAATCGACCGAAAAAGGAAAAAAAACGAGAGGGAATGTGTCACCATGAGGTCTGAACCATCAATGAGGCTAGTTGCCAGTAGCAGTCATGGCTGCAGGCCGTGGTGCCGAGATGGAAGTGGCCCGTTCACTCACATTTTTAGTAAACATCTGAGCAAAAAAGTGATTTTTACATGGCATGCTAAAAACACGAACCGCTTAAAAAGTAATCGACCGAATAACATAAAAATCATACCATTTGCTGAAAATATATGCCGCATTGACTATTGGAAGTTTCAATGTTGTATCTTTATCACTTTCTGAGAAATATTGATTTAAAATTGGGAACGTTTTTTCTGGGCCACCCGGTATATGAAGTTTTTCTCGAATAACTTTCAAGGTATCCCAGCTGGGAATAAACTAATAGCACCATCGTGATCCTCTCGTCAATCCGCATCACAACATATGTATGTTGACCTCGAAAGGTCGGAAGGTCAAAAGTTGACCTTAGGTCACGTGACCTAAGGTCAGATACTGAGATTTTTCCGTTATATTGAAAAGACTCGCTTCGCTCGCTGCGCTCGCTCGCTCGTAATTATCTTACAACGTGGAAACGTTAATCTTTCGTAGCATATTTTGCTGCTGGTGACGAGCCACCTAACCCGACCATTCAGCGCTGTGTCGCGCTGTTCCCTAGCGCTTCCCACTCGGATGAGCGTGTCATCTGGTCAAGGGCGCACACAAGGGGGGGGGGCACACGGGCCCGTGCCCCCCCCCCATTCGAGTTGGGGGGCCCAACTCGAAGGAAGGGGCCCATTTGAGGCGGCCGAAGGCCGCCTCAAATGGGCCTCTAACTAATCCTTAGACCACCGAAGACCGTGTACACCGGGCCCTCAAATGGCCTTAAAGGGCCCTCAGATGGTCTCAAAAGGCCCTCAGATGGCCTCGAAGGGCCCTCAGTTAGCGTCATAGGGCCCTCATCTGGTGTCAAAGGGCCCTTAGATGGTGTCAAAGGGCCCTCAGAATGGCCTTAAGGAGCCCTCAGATGACCTCAAAGGACTCTCAGATGGCCTTAAAGGGCCCTCAGATAGCCTCAAAGGGCCCTCAGCTAACGTCAAACGGACGTCAGAAGGCCTTAAAGGGTGTCAAAGGTCCCTGAGCTGGCGTCAGAGGGCCATGCCCTTGCGTCAAATGGCTCTCCGAAGGCTCTAAAGGGTCCTTAGCTGGTGACAGAGGGCCCCCAGCTGGCGCCAAATGGCCATCAGAAGGCCTCAAACGGTCCTCAGTTGGCGTCAAGCGGCCCTCAAAAAGCCTTAAGGGACCCTTAGAAGACCTCAAGGGGCCCTTAGAAGGCCTTAAAGAGCGTCAAAGGGCCTTGAGCTAGCGTCAGAGACCCCCCAGGTAATGTCAGAGGGCCCTGAGCTAGCGTCAAACTTAAAGTGCCCTTAGCTGGTGTCAGAGGGCCCCAGTTGGTGTCAGAGGGTCATCCATTGGCGTCTAATGGCCATCAGAAGGCCCAAAAACGATCCTCAGCTGGCGTCCAACGGTCCTCAGCTGACGTCAAGAGACCCTCAAAAGGCCTCAAAGGCCCCTCGACTGCTCAAAGGGCATTTAGAAGGCCTCAATGGGAACTCAAGAGACGTTAAACGGCCCTCAAAAGGCTTGAAAGGGCCCTCTGCTGATGGCAAAGGGCTCGCACCTGAGTCAATAAGAGCCTTGTCAAAAAACGGACCTGAGAAACCTTGCCGGCCCTGGTTATCTGCGGGACTCCTACACTTACCTGAGTGGCCCCCGTTTACTGAGGGGCCCTGGTTATTGATGGGGTCCCTGGTTACTTAAGGGGCGCCTGGTTACCAGAGGGGCCCATGGTCACCTGGTGGGCCCCTGATCAATTGAAAACCCCTGGTCATCTGAAACGCCCCTGATTACCTAAAGGGTCCCATCACTTGGATTCAGTGACATAGCAAGGGAGCGAGGGGGTACGTGCCCGTTCTCGGGTTTAGGGTTCCTTCGAAACCGAGGGGCCCTGCGGCGCCAGTTGGTAGCAGAGGGTTCGCGCTGGTCGCACTTCAACTCGGAAGGACACCACAGGGCTTGTGGGGGGACGTTATTGGCTCCTATGTAGCCACAATTATCTTCATAAAGGCCCAATGCCGGTTTCTGAGAGACCTCGCCGGCCGCTCAGGGCCCTAAGTAGTAACGGCCAACGAGGGATTGGCTGCTATGGCTCCACATCCGTCTGTGATAGACACACGGTCCACACTAGTGTTTCTAAAGGCACCCACAACGGCAACTGCGAGGCCCCTCGCCCCACCTTCAAGGGACCCCCACCTGCGCATCTTAAGGGCCTACACCGACGCCTCTGAGGGCCGCGTACCAGTGACTCTGAGGGCCTCTTACCAGCCTCCGAGTGTCCTTGCCAGCCTATGACGGGCCACTTTCCACTTGCAGGCCATTTTGCAGGGCCACACACATGCCAATGATGGCCCCACCAGTGTCTCTAAGCCCTAAGACCCCGCAACGGCGCCTGTGAGGACCCAACACCAGCGCATCTGACGGCCTTTCACTGGCACCTCTGAACGCGCCACACACCGGTGACTCGAGGAGCTCGAGCTCGCTTCGCTCGCTCGTAAAATACCATGTAAATTAGGCATTAGTGTACATTAGGCACACTCCTCGGGCATAAATGATACCATAGTGTAATAAATAACTTATTTATACACTATTATTACACTATGATGATATGATGACACTATGTTATGATGACACACACTATGATGACACTATGTTATTTATTACACTATGATGATACTTTTGCTTGCCAATTTTCCACATTTTCTCATGCAAAGACCGTTTTAAAGAGACCCGTCTGCCAGTGAGACTGGACCCACCGTGCCTCCCCCCTCCCATCGAAAGGTCCTGGGTACATCCTTGCCTGAGCTGACCCCGGGCGCCCGGGTGACTCGCGGGCCGGGTCAGGTGACCAGCAGGTGACCCCTTCTTGGGCGAAATTCTGGGTACGTGTCCGACATGCATCGTACATAGTCCTGTTGATTTGATTCATTGGTTAAGCATTAAATATAAGTTATAAGCTGGATCTCTAGTCTGTGATCCCGCATCGTATCAGATATAATGACATTTCATGTCGATGTGCCTAAAAAAAATATGCGAATATACGTGAAAAAGGAGTGCTGCTCCCGCTCCTCCACATCCGGGCCAAACAGTGACCGGCCCCTGCTTCTAGCCACCCGGGGCCGGTCGGCCGGCCGGCAGTCAGTCGCTGCCCGGGGCTGATTTCTGAGGGACCTGCAAAAATGTTTATTAATGAAATGCTTTACGTAATAAATTAGATGATTAGGTATATGTACCGGCTCTGAGTCGCATTTGAGAAAAAAAAAACAGCCTAGCGTAAAAATATATATGTTTTGAAAATTAAGCTGGTACCGAAATAATTGTTTTACCATGCATTGACAAACCAATTGCTCAAGCTTCAAACCAACCGAAATATAGCCCCGTGGGCCGTATTTTTTTTTTTTTTGGGGGGGGGGCCCTTCGGCGTGGGGGGCCCAGTTCGAAGGTCGTGCCCCCCCCCCATTCAAAAATCCTGTGTGCGCGCCTGCATCTGGTAGCTATGAGCCTCTCTCACCTGGCGAGCGGTAGCTGTAAGCCTCTCTTACCTGGCGAGCAGTAACTGTGAGCCTCTCTCACCAGTCACCTGGCGAGCGGTAGCTGTGAGCCTCTCTCACCTGGTCAGGGTGAGCTGGTCGGCCAGCCGGACGTAGGTGACCGTGTATCCGGTGATCCGTCCGTGGACCAGCGACTGTGGCGGCGGCTGCCGGCAGACACACTCGGTGAAACGCTGCCACGTTTATTACGATACAGTGAGGCCCAGCAGGCTACATTCAAGCTTCTTGCGCATGGAAAAATATACAGCGGCTTAATATCGCCAGGAGCATTTCATCTGCGGAAGCACGCGCCACGCGGTGAATTGGCGAGAGGCTCCGGGCTCGGACTTCAGCGACGGGCCGTGCTGGTGAGGGACGTGTTGGCGTGGGTAGGCTGGGCCGCTGTACACAGGTGTACTGCGGAACAGCCTACCTATCCAGACAGCCGAGCGGGCCGGCCGGCCGTCTGAGGCTGTCACCGACGAACGTAAAGATCAATTGTCAGTTCAAAATGTGCGTTCACCATTCCGTGCTTCTATCCTCAGGATACTGAAATCCTTCTCCACGCCGCAACCCCCCTCCGGGCTGGACAGGCAACTTTATCTCATGCGGGCTCTTGGAGCGGCACCGCTGCTCCCGAGGGAGCGCACCCCGTAGCCGGGTGCAGTGAGTGCCTTGGGGCTGGGTGGCCTGTCCTCTGGACGGGCTCAGCCCCGGCGACTCACTAGGGTGTCTGCCCAGACCAATGTCTCCCCCTATATCCTATCATCCTCCCGGCTCTGAAATGGTCTCATTGGACCGAAAGGGCCTAACCCAACAAAACAAACAAACAAACAAATGTGCGTTGACATGTGATTAGAAAAGTTAATTCTCTTTTCGTGTTCAAATGTATTATGAGCGTGAGCCGGCACCCGACCAGCGAAATAGCTGCGCTGGGCGGCCAGGGTTCGCTGTGATCAGCCAACTGCGGCATGCGGCGAGCCCCGAAACCCGGCCCCCGACGCTAGTGCGCGCTGCAGCGCGCTGCTGTATTGGTGCGGCGTCTGAGACAAATAAGGCTCGACGCTCCAGCGTTGCGAGCGTCCGAGTTTGTTGATGCCTTACGCACCGCTGCGCGCAGCGCGCTGTAGCGCCGTGCCGTGAAACACTACGACTACCCTGTTTAGAGGTGGGAGCACACCCAGACCACTGTTAGTGGAGGGAGCGCACCCAGCCCACTGTTAGCGGAGGGAGCGCACCCAGCCCACCGTTGGGCGTCCGCGGCGGTCACTCACGCTCCAGGCCAGCCGCAGTGTGCGCGGCCCGGCGGGCCGGAGCCGGACGCCGAGCGGCGGCCCGCCGGGCGGCTCCGGCTCGGTGTGCACCCTCAGCGCGCCGCTGGGCCCGCTGCTGCCGTGCCGATTCACGGCGAACACGCGCAGCCGGTACGAGGCGCTGGGCTGGAGGCCGGCCACCAGCGCACTCCGCTGCCGCGCCGACACTGTCTCATTGACTCCCAGCTGCAACACACGGACACGGGGCAGGCTGGACGGCACATCCGGCAGCAGCAACTGTGTGGTTGGTTGAGCAGCAACTAACTAGGGCTTTAATCGGTTATGAAGCAATAAAAGCATTAAGCAAGTGTGATATTCCGTTCAGTGAGGTATTTCGTCTTTTGCCGCACAAGATATATTCTGCAGTCATATTGCTACTGTAATTGAAAACACCATCGATATTTAATTCATGGCATAATTCGCGGTTTTTATCAACAATTTTATCAGCATGCTTCTTAATTCATAAGCTCATTGCACCCATGCAAGCTGCACAGTGCACATACAAGTCCACAACTCACAACACAACAAAAACGGATCATATTATCAACGTTAAAGCATGTGCTTTAACGATAAGGTTAAGCATAAAGAAGGGGCCTGGATGTAAGTGGGGAATGTGACTCACTTATAGGTAATGGTATGATGATTTATGAAAGAAAAATGATGCATGGCGATAGGATGGCGATAGGATTTTGTCCGTTTGACCCAAGTAAGTTATTCTATAAGATATAACGTACTCTCCAGCTGAGTCCAGACTCCTGACACCTGGCCCTTTGACAGGGTGTGTTCCCATGGCTGCAGCACTCAGCCGGTGCCCCGCCGCCTGAGTGCCGCCCCTAGCCGTCGGTCAGCGGGGCAGTGAGCGCCGCGGCGTCCCGGTTACCTGCCAGACTCGGCCGGCGGGCGGCTCGGCGGCGCACTGCACCAAGTAGTGCGTCACGGCGCTGTTGCCGTCGTACCCGGGCGACCAGGCCACCAGCACGGAGCGCGAGGTGACGGACGCCAGCCGCAGGTCGGAGGGCGGCTCCGGCCGCTCTGAAACACCGCGTCCGTCACCGGACCAGTCCACGGACCACAGCCGCCAGCAGAGCGCGGCTACCACCGGAGGGCGGCCGTCACCGGACCACGAGACCTCAGTGCTCATCACAACTCCCTACCACAATAAGACTCGGCCTGCATCTGCCACTTGCCATCCCCAGCGGCGGCGGCGGCGCAGTCCTCACCGTGGCCAGCAGTCCTCACCTGTCACCGTCACGTGCCACGTGGTGCTGTCCTCGCCGTGGCCGTTGCGTGCCACGCACGTGTAGGTGCCGCCGTCGTCCCGTCGCGCCGCCGTCAGTGTCAGCTGGGAGGAGCCGTCCGTGGTCGTCGTTACCTGCACGGTCCCGTCTTCGTCCGCGGCCGTTACCAGTGCCTCTCCGCCCGCCGGGGTCACCGGAGACCCGCCGGGCTCTGCCGGGGTCACCAGCAGGTGGCCGCGCCGGTACCAGCTCAGCTGCAGCGGCCGGTCACCTGACGGCGCGCAGGTCAGCCGCAGAGCGGTGCCAGACACCACCGAGACGGCTCTCTGACGCTGCTGGAAACGGGCCGGCACTGGGAGGAGGGGGGGGGGGGCTGTCACTGAGGAAAGCGGTCACTGGGAGAGGCGACAGATGAAAGCTCATACATACACGGCCAACGACGGGATAGAGACGGGGATTGGAGAGGGTTCACACTACACAGGACGCATGTGTATTGGAAAGATGACAGAGTACAACTGTCACTGGGAGAGGTTACCGTCCTCAGTCCACACCCGCAGCCCCGAGACCCCGACTGTTCCCTGCGGCCCGGGCGGCCCCTGTGGCCCCGGAGATCCCCGGCGGCCCCTGTGGCCCCGGAGATCCCCGGCGGCCCCTGTGGCCCCGACTGTCCTCTGTGATCCCCGACTGTCCCCTGTGTCCCCGGTGGTCCCAGCGGTCCTCTGTGGTCCTCTGTGGTCCCCGGCGGCCCTGTGGTCCCCGGCGGTCCCCCGTGGTCCCCGACTGTCAGCTGTGGTCCCTGTGGTCCCCGACTGTCCCCTGTGTCCCCGACTGTCTCCTGTGGCCCGACTGTCCCCTGTGGCCCCGACCGTCCCCTTTGGCCCCCGACCGTCCCCTGTGTCCCCGACCGTCCTCTGTGGTCCCCGACTGTCTCCTGTGGCCCCCGACTGTCCGGCGCTGTGGTCTCCGGCGCTCCGTCGCCGCCCACTGACCGGTGACGCTGAGGCGCGCCGCGCGCCGCAGCGGCTCGCCCACGCCGTTGTCGGCGCTGCAGCCGTACTCTCCGCCGTCGGTCTCGGCGACCGTCGGCAGCGACAGGGAGCCGTCGGCGCCGACGGAGAGCCGCCCGTCGGCGGAGCCCCGGAGCGCGGCCGGCGGCCGGCCGGCTGGGCGCGGAACAGCACCGGCTCAATAATACAGTACACTGGAGTCACTTGCATGGCCACGATTCAGAATGGTGTCAAATAAGTTCCACTGAGCGAAGTCCGGCCAGCTGATCCATCAGCTGATCCAGCCAGCTGAGGACTATAATATCGTATGTATATCGTGATCCTATCTGTACTATATGCATATCGTGATCCAGCACTACTCTCCAATAGACACCGTGAAATAGAATTGCTTATACGGTATGGTAAATAGGCGTTGGTAACATGAGTGGACCACTTAAGCCAGATAGGCTATCTCAAAACTACTGTAGTGATGTCCGGCGTCCGCTATCAAGGAAGATGGCCAATTATGCTTAGTGTCTTTGTTGGCCTATTCTTGGCTGCTCAGGCGTCCAGTTGACATTTTCATGCCGCAGCTAAAAGCCATTTGTGGTAATGCTTGTGCCTCATATCTATATCCGGTGAAATAAATAATTATTAGCGCTTATGTACACAGTCATACAAAGAATTGTCTTACCAACATTATTTTATTTTAGTATGGCGTTAAAGGGCACACGCGTGTGCGCATTAGTGCGAGATAGTCACGTGAGTGAGTGAGAGAGAGAGAAAGAGAGAGAGAGAGAGAGAGAGAGAGAGAGAGAGAGAGAGAGAGAGAGAGAGAGAGAAAGGGAGAGAGAGAGAGAGAGAGAGAGAGTGAGAGAGAGAGAGAGAGAGAGAGAGAGAGAGAGAGAGAGAGAGAGAGAGAGAGAGAGAGAGAGAGAGAGAGAGAGAGAGAGAGAGAGAGAGAGAGAGAGAGAGAGAGAGAGAGAGAGAGAGAGAGAGAGAGAGAGAGAGAGAGAGAGAGAGAGAGAGAGAGAGAGATCCGTCCACCATGTCGCTGCTTACTCACCTGAACTGAAGGTCCATGAGACAGTGGGCGGTGGCTGGCCGGCCGCCGAGCAGTTGAAGACGACGCTGCCGCCCAGCGCCACTTCCCTGTCTGCCATCTGGTGAAGCCAGCGCGGCGGCACTGAAACACAGCAATGTGCCGGGAGGTGGTAACCAGAGTCATGTGTCGGGAGGCACTGGGTCACAGATGTGTCGAGCTTCTTGAAGCGAGACATATGTCGGGGAGGCACTGGGTCACAGACATGTGTCGGGAGGGCACTGGGTCACAGACATGTGTCGGGAGGGCACTGGGTTACAGACATGTGTCGGGCTTTTTGAACCGAGACATATGTCGGGGACGCACTGGGCCACAGACGTGTGCGGGGGAGGCACTGGGTCACAGACTCACAGACGTGTGTCGGGGAGGCACTGGGTCACAGACGCGTGTGGGGGAGGAACTGGAATATGTGCCGGGGATGCACTGCACTGGAGCAGAACGAGCTATCTGAGAGGCACTGGACCGGAGCGATATGCGTTACCATGCCGCGAACACGAGGAAACAACGGGATGACGGTAATTGTAATAGATTATCTATTTCAGCCGACCGTCCTCCATTGGAAATACGTGCTCGTAAATTGTCCGAGCGATAACACTATGACGTGAGCTGAATCTGATTGTGATTCGAGAAATACGCAGAATAGCATTCAAATTTCGAACACATCCTTAATACCCACATTGATTCATAAAATCGTGATTTGTGAATAATACTATGGTTATTGCTTACATACGTATAGCGCTTACATAACTGTTAGCCATATCGAAAATCAGACACGGATAATTGCCTCTACCATATAGATATGTTCGAAAACAGTTAGCTCAACTCGTAATGCGACACTTGTAAAAATATCACGCCGTATCGTTACATACGAGGTAATCCCTTTCCATTGATGGCTTCGGCAGTTCACTGATTCATCTCAATGTTGAGGCCAATGTCCGGAGCTCGTCCTGACGCCGTTTACATCATGCAGTGACCCGGGAGCTGTCGCTCGCGGCAGTACCGACTGAGTTGGGGCCGATCGAACAGGCTCATCTCGACTAGTTCGCGCCCCACCAAATGACTTAGAGTTAGCGGCGCGCCACAAATTGTGCGATAACCTCCAAGTTGGGCCGCGCCGGATGGTGGTATCTGGCGGCGGGAGCTTTGCAGAGAGGCGGCATCAGCCCGGTACCGAGACTGTCTAAGAGTGTCCTTTCGGGGTACATAACTCAAGGTGACTTAAGCTTTGCTTACCGGAGGGCACAAAACAGTCAAAAACGTCTAAAAATGGCCAAACATGAGTTTCGTAATGCCTGAGGCTAAACAAAACAGAGGGCTGATGACATCAACCAGGTCATCAGGACTAACTAGTCCACGTTCGAGATGAAACACCCGTCCAAACCCGAAAACAACCCCATAAGGGCGAAGGAGGAGGCCTCCGTTTCGTCTCGTTATGTTTCTATGCAAAAGGACAGGGTCACTGTGTTGTGGGGTTATAGGCGTTCTGGAGTTGACCAAGTTGCAAGTGGCAACCCAGAAACAGTTTTGGGAAGCAGAATGCTTTTCCAAGAACATCTAGGAGGAGTTTCAGCCCTCAAGCTGAACTCGAACCGCGAGTATGAACATATTTATAGAGGAGAGAATGGCATCCGGGAGGTCGTAGACCCATCTTCACTGCATCAGTGCACAGGTCAAGCAAAGCTTAAAAGCGGTGCAAGGAGACTGTGACAGGCGTTTTTGGCAAGATCACATGCCAGGCACCTCATTGGATCAAAATTTCATAAAAATTTGTTGTTTATGCTGAAATTGAGGCTCGTCGAAGCGTAGCGTTGTTCCAGCCTCGAGGAGCTCACGGCGCATGTCAAGTCAGTCTGGGTTAACTTTAAGCCTGCTATGCAGCCAAACATGCCGGTTGGCATGCCGCAGCATGTATTCATGTGTTTGCCTATTAAATGGGGAGCACGTTGAGGGGTCGTAAATATATCAAAACGCAATGTACTCTGTTTCACATGCAAACATAATGTGAGAACGAACTTATGGGACACCCTGTATGTTGGCTGGGCCTCGGCGCCGCGTCGCCCTTCGGATGCTAGTTCTTCACACTTATCCTCGCCATGGTTACGCATCGTATACCATGAAAAGCATAATGTTGGAAGGAAAACTGCCAGCGATTTGTGAATAACTTTGAAAGGTGATCGATATGGCACGAGGTAAGACGAAGCGTCACACTGCACAGTGGGGATTTTTCCAATCTAGCACGTATTTATTCGTAGAGGGCAAACCATAGGTAGAATTGTAGCCAGATTATGCACAGATGTTGGCTGGTGTGTCCTGGTGAGAATTTTACCTGTAAATGTGCATAATCAACATAGTATAGGGGGTTCAATTGGACCCCCCGCTCAGCCGTTTGGCCCCTGATCAAGCTAGAGCTTCGCGGAAAAGTCAAGCGTGCTGCCTATGACGAAATTAGGCCGAATATATCCAATTTCAAAGTCCAAAGTCATAAGCTGACTTTCCAAGTCAGTTTAATGACCCAACTAAAGTTGGGAAATCGAGACCTCTTGAAACTTCGCAAAGTTAGGGTGTTACGGGGTATTTTGGGGTACTGATCACGAATTTCATGTTAGTTTTGATCACAGACGATGTCTTTATGCATTTAGGCCAGGTCGGGTCAGGTCACGTTAGATCAATTAGTAGGCGTCCTGCCGGCCATCCATAGAAGTGTCACCTACTACTGATAGCTTCGTAACATGGAACGAAGGCACTAGAACTACTTCGTAAATATTCAAATGGCTGCTAAAATCGAAATCAGCACCAAAAACTACCCTAGAAACAAGTAAAACTCGAAAAGTGAACCAAGGTCATCAAAAGGTCAATGACCTTGACTTTACCTTCACGTGACCTTAACTCCCACCATTATGCATGGCACCAACATCATTTCACATATTTGAACGTTTAAAACCACAAAAAGACTGGAAACCGCGGATAATGTGAGCTGGCATACGCCGAATCGCGATTCCGGCCAAACATGGTCTCGAGAAATATGCCACAGGTCAAAGGTCAGTTGGGTCAGAGTCATGAAATTTTTAGGTTAGATGTAAAATTGATGATCTCGAGGGTAACGAAAGTTTCGGCGCGATCGGCCGCTTTTTGTGCGAGTAATTTGCGGAAAACCATGGGGTTTTATCCGACCCCTTCCCCCTCCCCCTCCCCACAAGTGCGATGGTTAATAAGGTTACGGTATGTATAATTTACGCTTGTCATCCTATTCCTAATGAATGTGTCTCAGAAAATATGCATCATATAAATCACGAAGTAAAATTATTCGCCTATGTCCGGAACATACCTATATCGTGCTGTTTGCCCTAGCGCTCCTCGAGTGGGGTGTTAAGATACTCTAATGTGAATATTCCGTGTTCAGGCAAGTTTCGGCAGCCAAACTAGGCGTTGTCTTGCGCAGAAGAAAGTGGCAAATTCGATAGGATATATTTCGGAGTGGAAAAGTGTGGAGAACATTGTTGATTTCCTACATTTATTTAGAATACCATTCCTTCAATATGGTGTCTGTAAGGGTTTTTTGTAAAGGGCATTTTTGTGACCTTAGTAAGGTTGTGGCATACTTTCTGTTTGCCATTCCATTCCTAATAAAGGTGCCTTTCAGACGATATGCAACTTTAAGACCTCGCAAGATTAAAACCAACAGGACAGGACAATGAAATTGAGCTATACTTTCGGGCCTTGCTGAGCCCATTGAGTAATCACGCATGAGTGTGAACTTTAGGCGCATTTTTCCTAGTTTTGCTGTGGACATACAGATAAAACAATGCCATATATTAAAAATTCAGACATTTCTTAGCCCTACTGACACAAAAAATAAACAAAAATCCAAAAAATATTTTTTGAATTAATAGGCGCTAGATCGGAAAAATCCCCACTGTGCACTGGCACGGTACGAATTTCGGTAAACAGCGTCCGAGCAAAGAATACTCAAATCACAATACGTTGGCGTTCTCAATGGGACAGAGAAAAATTCATCGGTCCCGGCGTTGCACGATGCGGCAGGTCTCGGGCGCCCGGCGATCAAAGCGGCTCGTTCGGCGGTAAACTTTGTCAGGATGGGCGGCGCAGCGGCTGGGGTCGGAGGCTGTCCCCCTCCCGCTGACTCGGCGGGCCGTTAGCTCGGGGGCCGGATGGAGCCGCCGGATGACGCGGCGGGGCTAACCCTCCTTTGCCAGAGTCCGATACGGACCAGTTGCTGCTGCGATGGCTGTCGAACACTCAGACCCGGCACTGGACTAGGAGGGAAAGCGGTTTATGGGCAGTCCATCACCAGCTCGTTATGAGCCGGTAACGAGTGTATTCTCGGACATCTCCGACTTTATCGCCGCTGCTCTGTGTTTCGCCATTGCAGGATCTTTCTAAAACTGTCCGGGAGCATTGACTCAAGCATTGTCCCAGTGATCAATGAAACATGTTGAAGTTAATGCAGAAAGTTGACGGAAGTTTGGCAAAATGACTGATCCAACAGGCAACAGCAATCATAACAATTAGTGATGTCAATTACAGAAAACCGGAATACCGATACCAAACCAAATACCAACCAAAACCGTGGGGAAATACCGAAACCGAACCAACTTTGAAAGATGAGGGAAATACCAACTTTTTACCAATTTCTTAGCTTCTTATACATTAGTAAGGGTTCATAATACCAACAAAATACCAAACACATTAGGATTGAAATACCAAATACCGAGTTGGTATCGGTTTGGTAACGGTATACCAAAAAATTGGTATTCGATTGACATCTCTGTCACGGGTCTGTGTAATCAATATACCTCAAAGAATTGAGAACAACAGGACCCGTGTATTCTCGAGCCACACGCCAAACAATAACAACCTTTGACCTTGAGCCGCCCGTATTCACTGCACATATATGGCAGCTCAGTGGCAGCCATATTATTACGTCACATCTCCCTTTCCTTACCGCCAAAACAGTAGGCACTACATCCCATCATCGAACAGGAACAGCAAATGAACATAGCTTCTGAACATTGAGCAGTATACGCGAAGACGAGCGTCAGAACACCCAAAACACTGATGCAGAACGGGTAAGCCCAAACAGGGAAAATGCGCACACAACGATAGCACAATTTCCACCGGCATGTAAGCACAAAACCTTTAACTGCGCAAACACACGACATCACAAGTTCCATCGATACCCGATACCCCGCCCCTTTCTCATTTAGTGACGTAGTCAGACAGGTACCCTGGCGGATGAGATTCGCGCGACGATCGGCGGACAGGCGTTTGTACTGCCGAGGGAGCGGGACGGACAGGGATATCAGGTGGCGCTGAAACTGGAGGCGCCAGCAGGGGATCAGGCATATCTGGGACCTGTGGGTCACCTGCCTCATCCGATGAGGGACTCTGGAAAGGGCGTGGCACCTGTTCCCGGGAACGGAAAGCAGGCAAGTTCAGTACCGGTGGGTTACGCACTGGAGTATTTCGCTCATCACAGTCCACATCAGAGCCCACATCTCCAGCCAGAAGCTGCCGCCGATTCCGGCGGTAAAACACGCCATTCACCTTCACAAGGTACGAGCGGTGGGTCAGTGGCCTCACGCACACACCGAGTGACCATCTAGCCTGTCCGGGCAACCGCATGCGGATGGACTGGCCCGCTTCCAGTGGCTTGAGAGAGTGAGTGCCTCGGTTGTAGTATGTCGCCTGTTTAGCCTTTCGTTGCAGCAATTCGCGCGACACATCTGGGGAGCCGGGTGCCGTGAAATTTGAGCGCACCTGAGGCACGAAAGTTCGAGCAGGGCGACCAAACATGAGTTGTGCCGGAGAGACACCTATACCTTCCGTCGGTACGTTCCGCCAAGCAAGGAGAGCCCACTGTGGGTTTCCGCCCGACTCGAGTGCCTTTTTGAACAAGCGCTTTACCGTGCGAACAGCGTTTTCGGCTTTCCCGTTTGACTGGGGATAGCTCGGGCTCGAAGTGCAGTGAACAATGTCCAAACGATCTGTGTATGCTTTGAACTCTGCACTGGCGTAGCACGGGCCATTATCACTGACAATGGTTTCTGGGATCCCATACCGCGCGAACTGAGCTGACATGGCTTTTATGACATTGGTAGTTGACATTGAAGCCAACCGATCAACTTCGACAAAATTACTGTAGTAGTCAACCAAAACGCTGTATGCTACACCGTTCAGCTCAAACAAGTCAACAGCTATCTTTTGCCAGGGACGATCTGGCAGCTCGTGTGACATCATGGGCTCCCTAGACTGAGCAGGGTGATGTGCCAGGCACACTGTACATTTGAGGATGGTCTCCTTCAAAGCGCTGGTCATACCCAACCAGAAAACACACTCACGCGCAAGTCGAAGGGTTGAAGCGAGTCCAATGTGAGCACGATGCAGCTCAGTTATCACTTCTCGCTGCTGACTGAAAGGAACCACGAGGCGCCGGCCTTTAAAGATCAGTCCGTCTTGCACGGCCAGTTCGTCCCTGAACGGAAAGAAGCCCCTCAGAAGCTCAGGAACGTCTCGGCGATGCGCCGGCCAGCCAGAGCGCAGCTGCCTCAGCAGCTGAGACAAAATGGGATCATCGGCGGTAGCTGATCGCAGCTTCATCAGTCTCTGGGGGGAGATCGAAACGCCTTTCGTCAGATCAACGTTTTCAAGTTGCACTGCACACGCCGACTGACTGGTTTCAGGCAGAGCTGCTCGGCTCAGGGTGTCGGCCACGAGCACTAGCGATCCTTTAGTGTACACTATGGTTATGTCATATCGCTGCAGTGCGAGCAGCATGCGCTGAAGCCGAAGAGGAGCATCCCCTAGGGGCTTTGCCATGATGGCCTCGAGCGGCTTATGGTCACTCTGTACTGTGACCGGCCTACCATACACGAACTGATCGAGCCGGGTCATTGCAAACACTATGGCGAGCAGCTCTTTCTCGATCTGAGAGTACGCTTGCTCTGCTGCAGTAAGTGAACGCGAACAATACATGACGGGATGTCCATCCTGAAGCAAAACCGCGCCTAGACCGGCTTTGCTGGCGTCACACTGTACGGTCGCTTCTCGCCTGGGGTCATAGAAGCAGAGGACCGGCGCCGATGTCAGAAGGTCTTTTATGGTTTGGAATGCCTTCTCACAAGCCGGACTCCAGAACCAGCCGACATTGCGATGAGTCAGCTGACGTAGGGGATGCAGCACATCGGAAATGTTGGGCACAAACCGAGACAGATATCCCACCATGCCAAGAAATCTTTTGAGCTCGATTACTGATGTCGGGGCAGGAAGATCAGTGATGGCCTGCACTTTGGCAGGATCGGCGTGTAGGCCGCGATCGCTGAGAAGGTGACCCATCCATTTCACCTGACTCACCTTAAATTTGAATTTGTCAGGGTTCAGACGGAGATGACGGGAGCGTGCGCGATCGAGAAATGCCAGAAGGTTCTTATCGTGGTCCAGAGTCGCCTCTGCTCGCGTCTGACCACAGCCATAGATGACAAAGTCGTCCGCAATCACCTCTACACCGGAAAGACCGCTCACCAGTTCATGCATCGTTCGCTGCCACACCTCTGGTGCCGACTTTATACCATACGGGAGGCGTTCCCAGCGATATCTGCCGAAGGGCGTGTGGAAACAGCACAGGTTGGCAGATGCGTCTGACAGTCCTACTTGCCAGAAGGCTCGACTGGCGTCTACAACAGAGAACACCTTGGCACCACTAAGGCGAGAGGTCACTTCATCAAGTGTGGGCGTCGGGTAGTGCTCTCTCAGCACCGCCTCGTTGAGAGATTTTGGGTCTAGACACAGACGAATGTCTCCAGATGGCTTGTCTACAACCACCAGGTTAGAGACCCACGGCGTTGGGCTGGTTACTGGGGTAATCAGACCGTGCTTTGTCAGATCATCAAGCTTTGCCTTCAGCTTATCTCGAACATGTACACGCACGCGACGCGGCGGATCAGCCACCGGACGGACCGTAGGATCAGTGACGATCGCATAATCACTCAGCACACACCCGATCGAAGATGTGTCAAATACATCATGATACTCGCGGAGGACGGTCTCAGCTGTCAGCAAAGATGGCTGCTGTCCGATCATAGTCCCACCCTGTCGCGTGTCTGTGACCGCGGAAGTCGGTGTCGGCACGGCAGGGGCGCTGTCGGTTCTATATACATGGGGAACGTAGTCCAATGGGTCGACATCATTGACCTGAAGAAGGCCCAGGTCAATGGATGATGACAGGCTGAGGATCGGGGTGACATCCTGTGCGACTACACGGCACAAAATCACTACACGTCGTTTGTCGGGCCCTTTGTACAGACTTAGCCGGGCTCTTCCCACTGTTGCTACCACAGACCCGTCATACATGCGCAGGTGAGTGACTCTGTTTTGCAAATGCCTGTGGGTGACGTCACCTGACACTCGCTCATATTCGTTGATACCGATAACATTACACTGGGAGCCGGAGTCAACCAGGAATCTGATAGACTCCCCATTGTCGGCGTGCATAGTTTTGTATACCCTGGAGGGGTCCATACCTGTTTCGAAAACAGCGCCCACGATGTATGGGTCTTCATCTTCAGGCGTTTGTACCGCGGCGACTCTAGGCCCACTGCCGTCTGGTGGGCGGCGCCGACCGTCTCCAGACCCGAACTGGCGTTGTCGAGGCGCACGAGCTCCTCCCGCGGCGCCCAGCGCTGCGCCACTGGTTCCAGCCGGTCGTCGCCGTGGGCACGCTATCCCTCCGGAGAAATGATTCTGGCCGCCGCACACGTTGCACGTTTTGCCCCACGCGGGACACTGTGTCCGTCTCATCACATGCACCCGGGCACAAAAGCGGCACTGGGCGCTCACCGTAACAGAAGACGGGGGTGCGACCGGCTGGGACACTGCGCAGACATCATTAGTGTTCTGTTGCGGCTCTTCTGAGCGCGCACCGGCCATACTCTGTTGGTCACGTGTTGACGCCTCTTCGGAGATGGCAATATTTATCGCTTCCTGCAGCGTCAGCTTCGACTGACGAAGAAGAGCGCGCTGTGTCCCCTGGTCGCGCACACCAATGACCAGGCGGTCACGAATCATGTCGTCCACGTCATGAAATTCACAAGTAGCCGCCAGTGAGCGCAGGGCAGCCAGGAAGCTTGTCACACTCTCATCCGGACGCTGTTGCCGGGTGTTGAACGTGAAACGTTCCAAAATGACGTTTCGTCGTGGGTTGCAGTAGGCTTCAAATTCGGCCAGGAGGGCCGGAAGGCCGTCCGCCTCCTGCCACTCAAAATGTGTCGCGATCTCTTGTGCACTGACACCTGCACAATTAAAGAAAGTCCCTAGCTGCACCGCCATAGGCTTCGCAGCCAACTCACGGGCCGCAGCATAATACTGCCAGTCTCGGCTCCATCTTGCCCACTCGGCAGCCATATTTGCCGCCCCGAAATTCAACTCGGTTGGCGATCGAAGATTCATAGTGAGAATACAAGTAATGAAGGCAATGCCAACCAGGCAAAATATCAACACGAAGGGTTCAGTTTACTTCTGACACCATGTCACGGGTCTGTGTAATCAATATACCTCAAAGAATTGAGAACAACAGGACCCGTGTATTCTCGAGCCACACGCCAAACAATAACAACCTTTGACCTTGAGCCGCCCGTATTCACTGCACATATATGGCAGCTCAGTGGCAGCCATATTATTACGTCACAATCTCTAATAACAATCCTTCAAAAGTTTGACTGCCAGACTATCGCTGTATTCGCAGCCATATGTCGAGAGCGTTTGCCATTTTCTCTCCGGTCTCACTCTAATATGTCATCCACATGACAGGTCACAGAAACTGACATCTAACTGTGTCAGATCTGTGACGCTGCCCCAGCTAGGTGAAAGGTAAGGTCACCAAAACTGATCTCTGACTGATAAAACTTAAAAGACACTGACACTGACCTCTTCCCTGTGCCGTGTCACTGACCTCTTACCTGTGACCATGTCACTGACCTCTGTCGTATGATCATGTCACTGACCTCTGCCCCGTGCCGTGTCACTGACCTCTGACGCGGAGCTCGGCCGAGTGGCGCTGACGGCCGCCCCGTTGG